TCCCACAACCAAGGACACACTTATTAATATCAAAATGTCATTATCTAATTTTTTTTCCTGTATAAACGTAAAGAAAAGAAAAGCTAAGTACCGGAAAAAAAAGAAACACCAATGAAATGATGAATGGGGGAAAAAAGGACCAATCAACAAGGTACTTGAGAAAAAAAGAAACCCCCGACAATAAACGCCCCACAATCAATACGCCACACATGAGTAATGCATCAACTAAAATACACAACCATTACGCACACGGCATCGATTTTCCCGGGTGCATGCTAGCATTGAGCGTATGGTATTTCCCTATTCCTTTTCCCAAGCGTCCGCGTAGTTTTCCCCGTATTTCGGCAACTAGAAACTCCTTTTTTTTTAAAAATACAATCCGGGATTTCAACAATTAGCAAAGTGCTCTTGATATAGAACGCCCAGCCGTATGGTTCATGAACGGGTTAGTCAGCACAGTTAATAAGCTATTGGAAGGACAATTAATTACTAACACAAGCATAGACACAGGCTCACAAGTAAATACCAATAGTGCTGTAGAGTACATATTGTGTGTGCACGTATGTATGGGTTGGACAGATTGATCAAAATAGAGTAAATAGAGTCGTATCAGTAACGCTGAGATGTTGCGATATAACGTCTACATGGACGTAGACAGCAGATCCCATCAAATCTGCGATGAAGAAATACTACCCACCTATTTCATTGTATATTATCAACTTAGTAGTTATAGTTGAGATCAAGGTATCTAATAAATTTAGATAACGGAATCAAGAAAACCGCCTATGGAGTAAGTGGGTTTTGTTTGAATCCCCCCCCCCCCCCCACACGCCTTAGCTTCTTACGTCACCCTTACCTCGGCCTGTGTCAACACGCGGCATGGACACACCGTTCGACTGACCGCTCGAGACAGCAGTGGTATATTTACAATTCTAAGCGGGGACGTGAGGTGAAATAAATAAACATAAGCTAGGCGGCTCATGTTTTAAACACAGGGGAGAAGCGCGGTGTTAATTATCAATAAGCTCAATGTTTGGTGCTTTACAGTCTACTAGGCGGCCTTGGTCGTCCTCCGACATATCGGTCCTCTTGCAAGGGATGTTTTTGGTCAGTATCGCTACCCCAACTCCAATTCTAAACCAAATCCTGAACATACTCTTTAAAGTGATACTGGTAGAAAAAAAAATAGCTCGATTTCTTATACTACTGTATTGCTCTGTCGGTATCCCTGAAATAGCTCATATATGTCTCCCAAAACAAAACACAGAAACAAAAAACTAACACTGAGGTCCTTACCAAACCAACCATACATGAGAGGATTAATGGGCTCCAATGCTGACCTACTTCGTAACGGATAAATACAGTTCGCTAGCTCAACCAACATGAGTTCTTATATCGCTTTTAGCGCCAAGGTTAAGGATTAGGTTCAGGAAAAGAGTCAGACAGGGTTTTTATTCACTAAACAAAGCATTGACTGGACTTGTCAACGTCTTCAGGCCTATTACTCTACGCCCCGATGTACAAGCTTACAAACAGTTAGAACTCACTTCAACGCAATTGTTAACAACACAGACTTGGTACACTGACATAAACTAAGATATAAGACCCAAACAATATTTTCCCAAGGGACTACATACAACCCGGCAATACTCTCAACCCAAACAGGTTATTGTGTGTGCTATAGCCCTATTCTACTGGTCTAGTCAGTGCAGCTAGCGAGTGAATCTGCTACTGTTACTTAAAGCCTCAGCCCTCGCCACTAGAGCTCCTCAAGTCAACTAACGTCAGGTGACATCATTATACACGAGATAGTTCCTTATTCAATGGTTGCATCCGAAAAAATAACTCAACCGATGAATCCCCCCCCCCCCCCCACTTTGTAATTTAAACACATTTATTTCAGTTAGTTTTTTTTTTTATTCAAACGAGAGGAAATAACAGAAAGATATGGTGTGTGGGAAAGGGTGGGGGTGGAAACACGGGACGACACCAGAACAAAAAGAAAAGTATTGTTAGGGTTAGGTCTAGATTAAATATAATTATTTCCCGGAGGTTGAAACAGCATTTTGAATTTTGTTTTGAGATCTTAACACAACTTGACTACAGGTGCAGCTACTTAACAATAAGATTTGTATTTGTTATCTTTGTATAAACCAATTAAACAATGTATATGTTTAATCTAATACTTTAATCCCACGTTGGATTAAAACAAGCCGAACTAGTTTTCAAGTAAACCTATCTCATATCTAATCCCATAAATAAAATGCTATAAAACATGTTTTTAAAGAACTGGCTATGCATCATTTTTTTTTAATTAAGTAACCAATTAATCAACATATCTGACACAGCAAGCTGACTTAGTCCTTTCATTTGGTCATGTCAGCTTTACTTTAAGCTTTGTCATCAACTTGTCCCACACACACCGGCACACCTGCACACACACACACCACACTAAACAGTGACAGCTGTCTAGACCAACAACCACCTCACAAGAACAAACTAGCCCCACAAGACAAGAGCCTTGAACCTATTGTATGTGGGCCTTGCCATTTCTAAGGCCATCTCAGGTACAAGTTGCTCTATGTAAAGACTCCACTGTCCAGGAGTGTCCAGTAGCACCTGCCAGGGAGGTGGACACCACCTGTATTTTTAACACACTATTCATAAAATTTTATTTTTAACCTGGGCCAAGGTGATTAACAATGTACCTGGCCTTGGGGGTGAAAGCCAACCCATGACCCAGTTTCTGAATAGCATTGTATGGTATATATAATGCATATAGATGGATTTAGACTGATATAGATATGTATACATATATCACATTGGTGTATTTATATCCTTGTACATGTAAATAAATTTGTGTCCAAAATTTAAATGTGAAAATAGTTTCTATTCCCAGAAACATTATGGGGGGACTATAGGTCTATTTAATAAAAGGTGATTTTTTTAAAGAAATGTTATCTTTTTTTAGCAAGTTTCAATAAACTGAAGGTTAAAGGAAATATTTTTTTAAGATTGTTGATACCCTGAATGTTTCTTAAATAGTCTAAAACAAAACCATCCAAAAGTTAGTAGTTTCATCATTATTTGTAAGCAAATTTTGCAGTAGGCCTATTAGATTTCAGATAATGAAGTACGAGTATAATATTGTAGAGAGGACAAAATTGTATGAAGGTTTAAGATTTTAAAAAAATAATATATGATACATGAAATATTTTGTTTTGTAAGGCTCTTTAAAACAGCTTATAATTATAACATAGTCTTGTTATATATTGTGATATTAAGTCAAATATATATATTGATATATAATAAAACAATGGGGCTAAACTGGAAAAAATTTGTCAAGTCAACATCCCCATCCTCCATAATCATATTTAGCATTAAGTGACTCAATGTATGTGAAAGCCAGCTATCAGTTAGTTTACCATCAAGATAAACTTGAAAGACTAGAAAAAGAAAGTAGAAAAGGATCACAATTACCACACACCATGGAATAGGCCTACGCTAAACCATTACAGTTAAATAAATAAAAATTGTATCCTTTTTCGCATTTCTCAAATTATTCAAAAAATTATCTCCAACAATATTTAAATACATTCTTCCAAGAATATAAGAGTCTAGTATCGAAATTTAATTTAGCTGTTCGCAAAAGATTAAACAGATTTCAACAGCAAATTTATATTTAGGGTAAAACACTTTGCAGTGATTTCCCAAAGATTATCATAGTTGGCAAATTTCCCATGGCCAAAGATACAGCAGAAATCAACATAAGCAGTGTGTTTGAGGGGGTGGGGTTGTGCATGACACAGTGACTCATGCTGCTCACACTATACAACCACTGAGTGCTAGGTGCTCACCTACACTACAGGTTCCTGTCAGGTTTTCAGACAAGGAACTCCACCAGTGTAGAATTGAAATATGATTATGTAGGAGCTTAAATACAGAGCAAAAAAATATAAGTTCAGAAGTTTAGCTAACAAAGACAGAGGGAAAGAAAGAAGTAAATCGAATGAATGATGAGAAGCAGATGTTTTTTTTATGTAACTGAATCTGTAAAATATGTTCAATTTTTCTGTTGATCATAAAGTTAAAAATATAATATGAATTTATGTTTTTAAAAAAAATAGAAATTAGCTTCTGTTGAATATTAAAAATACAATTTGATACAGATTTCCTGACACTTGATATCAAAGTGTCTATGATGACTCAATTACTAAATTGTGAAAAAGAAAGCCCTACTAAATTTGTCCACTTGCAAAATCTAATGAATCTAATGAGCAAATAGGCCTAACAGCGAATTATTAATTTCTAGATTTCAAAAAGGTAACATAACACCCAGAAACAGTTGAGCTTGGTACACTTTTAAAACTTTGACACACTATAAAATAAAGTACAAGTAGAGATCTAGAATTCTAGATCTAACTTGATTTTTAACATGCATTTTTAACAACCACAATCTCAAAATGTCATCCTTATTATTAAGTAATATTAAGTCTTAAATTAATTGGAGTATTTTTCAACAATAAATACCTTGTTCAGGGTAGATCTAGATTCTAGATCTAGCATAAATCTAATTTTAATCTAATGTCTAATAGACAATTTCACCTAATTGACTAGATTCTAATAACCTAACTATTTAGTATATGATATGACTATAGCCAACTAGATCTATACTAATCTATAGTACTGAAGTAGGCCTAATTAAATAGTAGGCCTAATTAATTATCCTAACTAGTAACTAGGTCTAGATAATCTAAATCTAATATCTAATTATATTAGTTTATATCTAGAATCTAGATCTAGATCTACTAATCTCGTTTTAGAATAATTTTAGATTTTAGAATCTAAATCTAGATCTAGATCTAGATCTAGATCTAGATCTTGATCTAGATCTAGATTTAAGATTAGATCTAGTCTAGATCTAGATATCTACTTTATCTAGTCTGATCTAGATTTAGATTTAATTTTAAATCTAGATTCCTGTTCAGGAGTGTTCTTACCTGCAAATGAATTGGTACTTTTTTCACCGGTGTTCGACTCATGGTTCAATTTGTACAAAATAAATTATGTATAACTTGACGTTGTGTAATCCCTTGCTTTACAGTGACACACAAAAATCTGGAATGAGTCCTAATGGACTTTTCTTACAAGAAAAATAGTTTGCGTAGGCTGCCCGCGAAATATTCAAATACTCCTGATGAATCGTTGGTGAAGAAAATATGAAGCATGTAACACTGAAGGTGTCAAATAGCTCAAGCTTATTAAGTTATTACAATCCTATTTTGACACGTCTGACTAAATATATTTAGAACTACACGTTCTGTTTTAGAAAGTGGATCTAACACGAAAATAATCAATAGTCATGTGTTAACTACACGGAGTCCTGTGAGAAGTACAACACATCAACACACATCCGCAAATCTTGTAAGGTGAAGTTTAAAAATCTTTTTTTGCTATGCAGTTGTGTTATTTTCGCCGCCAGTGGGGCAAGGGTTTTTCGGGTGGGTGAGGGGGGGAGGAGGTTACCGGTTCAACTCACTGACACGGCAAGCGATAGAAATAAACCGAGACGGCTGCTGGTGGAGGAAACGGAACCGGTACAGCACCGACCGGTTTTTCTAACACAGAGATAGAATAAATTATCCGTAATCAGCGGTCACACCACGAAGCTGTGTTGTGACGTAGTACGCAAGTCACAGTTGTTGCAGTCACACAACACGTCGCGTCGGCGCTTTGATCCTACAAGTGATACGTTATTTTGCCTGTTACACGCCGGCTGTGTTTTCATAAAATACATTGATGTAACTGTAACAACCCTAATTTCCGCAATTAAAAACCCACGCGCTGTGCTACGTGTAGCTCAAACCTTGTCAACAATGTCGGAATGTTTAAAAGCCTGTCGAATTTTCAGCGAAAAGAGCCTTCGGCGGAGCGCTCGGTGTTTTTCAGCTACGCGAATTACACGAGAGCGGCTCATTCGGGTTAAACTCAACCACGCGAACGGCGGGAAGGCCATGGAACAAGCATGAGTGCCAGGTCGCTGTGTTTAAAAAAGAAGTCTAAAAATAGTAACAGGAGTATTAGGGCGGTGCATTATCTAGGACTAGGCCCAACGATTTTTCTTTTTATATTTATCCTTGAGCTAAATAAGAATGTAGATCTATTAGTAATTAATGTATCGGGAATTTTAAAACAGCGTTGGGTCGTCTAATTAATAATTTTGATGTAAAAGGAGAAGTATTGCTGTAAACATGTAATTTTAAAAACATGTTTTGTTAATTTAAAACTGACAGTGACAGCTAGATGTAACTAATTTAAGCCTGCTGTTAATTAGATACTTGAAGAGCAGAGAAACAACTCAGATTACACGTACCCCTCCCCCTACTCAAAACCTTCGTGTGAACGAGGGTAAGCTAAACAGTTGGGGGGGGGGGTGCAGCTTGCCTAAATGACGTCAAACTTCTGGCCCTAAGGGGAAAGGGAGTTTGTAATTTTGTGACGATATGTTATGGGCGGGTTGGGGGGGGGGGGGGGGGGGAATTAAGATAGCGGGACGTCACACTTTTAAATACTAAAAAAGTAATGTTAGAAACTGAATTTTAGCTGTTAGAAACTTCTTTTTTTTTTTTTTTGTAAATTGCATTAGAAGTTGATTAGTATACTCTCTGCTGATCGAGTTCAATCGATATTTTAGAAAGAAATATGTTCATAAAACAACTACAACTTTGAAGGGGGAGGGGTATTTTAGGGGTTCTGGCTTTTTGTAGTGACTATGTGTGACAATGGGGGTGGGGGGAGGTAAAACTCGTCATAATGGAAGAGTGGCGTTATTTATGTATGACCCCTTACCCTAAATTGGATGCTATATGCATGTATAATGATGAGTAGAAGTCGCTGTTAGAAAATGCAAAGTAATAAATAATAATAATAATTCATAGTTGGGCAAATTATTTCAAACATTGAATTTCAGACTATATTTAAAAAGGCTTAAATCTATACACAAAGTCAGGTATTAATTATTGAATGGCCTACTTGATTACATAAAGCGTTAAACATTTAAAAAAAACATTCAGCTCCATTGTGCCATTTTCTCATTAAGTAATGATAAACTTGTTTTTCCACAAAAATAAAGTATGTTTTTCATTCCTAAAAATAATGCCTAATTTGAAATGTGTTGTTAATAACTAAATTCTTAGTAAAGGCCTACCCCGTATGATTTAAATATAAGAGGCTTCTTTTAAATCTAAGGAGAAAGGCCGACTACCCTGGCGACCAGAATTAACGCAAACAGCTGCTTGGGTTATCTCAGCTTGTTCTCGGGGAACCGTGCAGATGTAATAAGCTGTTCTGTTTGAGATTACCCCGGGGTTGGGGCGTCTTGTACCCTCCAATTGGGTGTGGCATCGAAGGGGGGTGACTAATTACCGCGAGGCTGGAAACGGTAATTGCATAAAGAATGAAAGGTAAAAGGTAAGACAGGAAGAAACAGCAACGTAGTACTGAAAGAATTTTTACTTCAACCCTGGAATCCCATTAATATATAGAAAGCATTATGAGGACAAAAAAACTATGTTACTACTTTGTGATAGGGTAGTTGGCTGTCTTTGTTTTACACTAGTAATCTGCCAGCAAGCATAGATCTGCTGATAAAGTAGTAGTCGAAGAGTTGGGTTATGATTTAAAGTAAAGGTGTTTTTTTTATTATGGGAGCTACTTTGGGATTATGGGGTAAACTACTACTTTTTTAATGTCCTAAATAATTAAAGTTTGCTTGGATTTGAGTTAAATAACGCGTGTATATGTTTTAGTTATTCGTAAATGTATACAAAACTACAAAAAAAAAAATAATTAAAATTATATTTGGCTTAACAAAATAGTAATCCAATTTTATCTGGCAACTCCTTTAAAAATCTACATCGGAAAAAGTCAAGAAAGTGTAGACATGATAATATATTATTTTCTGGAAGTCATTAGTGCCATAGATATAATTTATATTACTTGTTTCTTAAATAAAGACAGTTGTTCGAAAAGTTAAACCAAAGATCAAATAATACAGTTCATATTCGTGTCTCAGCCCTCCAATTCTCTAACACCTTGTAGGCCTAGCAGTCTGCCGCCGCCAATGAACCGCACACGCACCGACTAGACAGCTGTGTTACTCATAACAATTAGGCCTACACACTAGAAACATTCGTTATTTATGATCAACCTTCAAACATAATTTCCTCCTACCCATCCCCTTCCGTTCATCTACCACCACCCCGCCCATAACGGCGAGGTGGGATTAATCATCACAAGATAATAAAAATACATCCCCCTTGCATAAAATCGATAACTGCGTATTTGGACCAATATTTTTTGTACATGAATGGATCACCAGATGTAGCGTTAAACTGCGGAAATGTAGTGTCAAACTGCGACAGGACCAAGGTATGTGTGTTTGTGTGTGTGTGTGTGTGTGTGTGTGTGTGTGGTGATACAACTAAAACGGGAAGGGGGGGGGGTTTAGTGTAATATTGCTTGAGTATAATATTGCCCTAACCAGAGCCCTTAACCGTATCGCCCTAAACAGATATAATAATTAGTAGAACCTTTATTCCTCAAGCAACTTAAAAGAATGACGATGATGGTCATAATAATAAAATAATTATAACAATAATTACAATTACTGTTCTGATAATTAATTTTTCCTAGCTTTTGAATCAGTTAATGTTAGACACAGACATGATAAATAATCTCGAACCCGACTTTAAACATATTTATAAAATAATCAGACGAGCGCATAGCTTGACCAGACACCACCACGTGTAGTTTAAATAACTAGACACCCCCTCACGTAGTTTAAATAACTAGACACCCCCAGACGTAGTTTAATTAACCAAACACCCCCACACGTAGTTTGACCAGACACCCCCACACGTAGTTTAAATAACCAGACACCCCCACAACCATACACCCCCACACGTAGTTTAATTAACCATACACCCCCACTCGTACTTTAATCTCAAACCCGACTTAAAACATATTTATAAAATAATCAGACGAGCGTATAGCTTGACCATACACCCCCACACGTAGTTTAATTAGCCATACACCCCCACACGTAGTTTAAATAACCAGACACCCCCACAACCATACACCCCCACACGTAGTTTAATTAACCATACACCCCCACACGTAGTTTAAATAACCATACACCCCCACACGTAGTTTAATTAACCATACACCCCCACACGTAGTTTAAATAACCAGACACCCCCACACGTAGTTTAAATAACCAGACACCCCCACACGTAGTTTAATTAACCAAACACCCCCACACGTAGTTTAAATAACCAGACACCCCCACGCGTAGTTTAAAAAACCATACACCGCCACACGTAGTTTAATTAACCATACACCCCCACTCCAACTTTAAATAACCAGACACCCCCACATTTAGTTTGACCAGTCACCCCCACATTTAGTTTGACCAGTCACCTCAGGTGCCCAACGGTTGTCTACTTTCCCCAACCCACCACTGATGCATCTCCCGGTTGGTTCGCTTGATTTATCAATCAGCCACGTGGGTATGAGAGTGTGTGTGAGGGGGGGGGGGGGGGGCTGAATGACCCCTGACACACGTGTGCAGCCAGGTAGGCAATTACAGTCTCGAGGTTTGAAACACTGCCAAGTACTCACCTTATACAATACAATAGACTGAAAGCCGGGGACAGTATTTTAGAATGGAATAGGATTTTGTGAAAGGAAATTTAAAGTGTTTGATTTAAATACACATTTTGTATATATATATATATATATATATATATATATATATATATATATATATATATATATATATATATATATATATATATATATATATATATATATATATATATGTGTGTGTGTGTGTGTGTGTGTGTACTTTAAAAAATATGTTTCCATATTATATATGTAATCTAACTTTGTTGACTCTTTGCCTTGACCCTCATTGTCCTGACGTATATTGCAAGAAGCTCGTAAATCTCAATTACATTCTTTTTATTTATATGTATTTTTTTTTATTTTACTGTAAACATTACAAAAAGCAGACCGACCCTGTACCGACTTAACTAGCAAATGACAAAAACTCATTCTGACAGATAACAGTAGACACACTTCACGTTTCGCATGCACATTTCTGCTCCCTAAAAGCATGGTGCGCGCTTCGGGAATTCCACAGGCAAGCAGATGGTGCGCTCATTGGCGTTCCACTCGACACAGTGCGAACGGGCTGAGCTTGTTACACGAGAAACCGCAGGATTATTATTATCATTCCCGTGGGATTATGGGACGTAAACCTCGGGGTTACCAGTAAGAAATTCCCTGTGAATATGTTAATTGAGATATGACACTGGTGAGATCGAGAGGAGGGTATAAAGTGAAATCAGACAGAGAAAATAGAACTGTTTTATAGTTCGACTTGATGGTGTAATCGTGGTTGCATTTGACAATGCATGAAGAGCTGTGCTTATTTCTTTTTTCTTCAGGTGCGGGTACCTAGTTGAACCGGTTCTACGACTAACATATAACAGTTACTAGCTTTTATTAATTAAGTTGATAGAGGACGTATTCGCAGCTACATTTATTTTACCAGTAGACCTATTTGCAATCCTAACTTAAACTTATGCCTTAATAACCCTAGCACCAATCGTGACCCTAAACCTTAAACTGAACATATTTCTAGCCCAACACTTAACTTACCCATATCCCTAATCATAATCCTAACAACGATAGCGGCAAGAAAACATCGGTGCCTTTCTGCATTTTCCTAATTATTACAACCTGAATGGTACATGTGCACAATATACATATTGTCTATATACAAACTAGCGAATGTCTAGATAGAAACTAGAGATTCCTATACAGAGTAGATTAAACAAACT